AAAAATCAGGCCAGCAATGGCATTCAGACAGAAAACCTTTCGTGAAAATTTCGAAGTAGTGCATACTTAAAATCCTTCACGGTTCGTTTTCAAAAACCATTTGTATAGTTCCTACCTTTTGTTTTTTTCCTTCTGTTCTTTTGCTTAGAGAGCATATGAGTACCAAGTAGGAAAATACTATATTGCCCTGGGAATGGCATTGCTAAAGTTAAGTGGAATGTAATTAGTCATGTTTCCCTTCATATTTCATTTCGTATTATATTCCGTTGGATAAGTGATACTTGTACAAATATGACATAGCTACGTATACTTATTGATGTAACATGAGTTTTGAGTTGATGGTGTGAAAAACTTATTGGATATAAATTTGATTGATTTTTTAATTAACCATAAGTAATTTTTGAATAAAAATATTGGTCAAGTTTGAGTGAGATTTTGAGTTATTATTAAAATAATATTTAAAGTAAAATGATTAAAGTTAATTTGATGTAAAAGTATGAGAAATGTGACTGAAAGTGATAGGTAGTTAAAATTAAATGAGAGGATGAATAATGAATTAAAGTTGATGTGATGTGTGAGGATGATTAATTGATATTATATAACTATATTAATAATATTGAGGACATTACATTAAGTTAAAGTTGAGTTAAAAAAAATATAGTCAAGTTAAAAGTGATTGGAAACTTAGTATATCTTCATTCATTACCGGTGAATGTAACTACTTTACTTAAGTTTATAGTTCTATTGTTCATATTTTTATCATAAGACATAAACACACAATCTGTTATACATGGCTCAAGAAGATTAGTTACTAAGGACATAGTAACAAAATTTAATCCACTTTTTACCAACTAAAATTTATTTAGTGGAAGAAAAGAAGATGGAACTAAAAATCATCTACTTCTGTCTATATAAATTATCCTTGGAGACCATTTGGTGCACAACACTCCACAGAAAAAAACTAAAACCAGAAAATGGGAATGGTGAAGAAGAAAACCCAAAATGCAGGAAAGAAACAGGGTGGAATTATCACCATGCCATTCATATTCGGTACTTTTTTTTTTTCGAAATTAATATGATATCACGCTTACTCAGAGACCGATTCATGTACGAGCATTTATACGTAAATTAAGCGTTGTAAGCTAGTCAACAGAAGTGAAATTTTTTACATGAATGTTGATTAGGAGCTTAATATTTTATACATGTTCTGTTTTAGCTGTTTATCTGTTTTGTATTTGGTGCAGCAAACGAAATATGCGAGAAATTGGCTGTGGTTGGTTTCAGTACAAATATGCTAAGCTACTTAACAGGTGAGCTTCATCTGCCTTTGACTAAGGCAGCCAATACTCTTACAAATTTCGGAGGAACTGCGGCCATGACGCCTTTACTCGGAGCATTTATTGCGGATGCCTTTGCCGGAAGATTTTGGACGATAACAATTGCCTCGATTATATACCAAATAGTTGAGTTTCTCTTCTTTCTTTATAATTGAGCATCTTTTTGTTTTGTATTGTTAGTGTTATACTCTATGAGTGTTTGCAAATTCTGAAATGAAAAAAAAAAAAAAGGAAGTATTTCTCATTTTTTAGCTGAAAACAGAAATTTTATAAATTACCCAATTTTGTTGAGAAATGATAAATTCTTAATGTTTAAGTTCTTTGCAAACTAGTATTCCTTTGTAGAAAGTGATTCTCAAATAAGTTTGCACAAAGGCTTAAACTATTATGAAATTGTGTTTCATGTAAAAATAGATGATGAAGTCTTTTTTAATGCTGCTTTTTTTGTTTCTTTTAAACAAGGATAACAATACATTAAATTTCATTTGCTTGAAAGATGAATTTGAAGTGGCACCTTTAGAAAGGTTAGATTCTGCTGTCATCTGTCAAGTTTTAGAATGTATATGAAATATAA